GACGTAAACGGCGCCCGAGGGATACTCCTTCGGGCTTTGCTTGATGGAGCCATGATCTTGTCATAAGACATCTTCATGCAGGAAATAGTAACTTTACTTAGTAATACTTAGTATTGATTACTATTGATGTATTACAATCCATCCGTAGATCTGTTTCGGACAATTATTTTTGAAGGATCCGATTTTCAAACGCAATTTGTTGATTGAAATCCATTCAATTGCATTCACAGGGTTCTAGGCTGAAATTCTCTGATGCTATTCTCATTTTTGCTTGTTGGGATCACATGCAAACACCATGTTTTAAACATGCTGTCTCCGTGAGGCAACCATTTTAATCATTGTCGAATGTTAAAAATTTATTGTATACTCACTGACCGAATAGTTAGTAGTAAATAAATGGTTGTAAAAATGAATCACTTTTTTTAACCCCACCGGTTAATAGATCTTTATACTCGCCCACTAAATTAAGGTGAATGACAGCATAAGGTATTAATACGGCATTTATACGGCATGGAGAAACCACCTCCAAAATTCTAAATGTGTCCTAACCGATCCTGGCAGATCCTTTCAAGGATCGGTAAAGACTTGGTACTTAAGTCACATGAAAACATAATACATTTATATAGGACTTAGATCCTTGTTTAACAATACAGAATTAAATTGATAAGATATACTTATCAATTCAGGATCTAAATGTATTATGTTTTTATGTGATTTAAGGATTTGAATTCAGAACTATCCTAGAAAGTCCTAGGACCAGACTTGTAATATAACATCTTTATCGGTATAACTGCATCCCTATTATCCGATACATAGGGATGTTAAAAACCCCGGTCCGACTTGACTCCAAAAGTCAAGCCTTTATTAAAATTCAGTCCAAATTCAGACTTGGAACTTGACTCGCATTTCACATGCATTTTGAACATTTTAAATAGCCAAAAAAAAAGTGTATTCATGCATATTTCGCATGCGCATGCATGTGAAATCCAAGACTGGACTTTTAATATTCCTACCTACAGCAATCACGTGACTTATCAGCAAAGCGAAATGACAAATTTGAGCGAAGATATCAAACCGGGTTAAATCGCCACCTAAAAAAATTTCAGGTCATGCGATTTACATCAGTCATATATTCGAAAATTTAATACAGTAGCTAATGGTTAATTATGCTTTCGAGGTCGGCTAAAACGGAGTGGATTCAAAATATGATCCTACATACTGCATAAATTGTATTCTTGATGTTGTTTCATCAAAAAGATAACCCTAACCCTAACTCCGCTTTAGCCGACAAACTTTATTGTCCGGAGCGTAGCGAAGGGCATTTAATGATTAGTAAAGGTGATTCTATTATTACGTTTTTGATGTATCTAGAGTTAACTAACCAATAATGTAATTTTATAACTTGGTGCCTGTACGTACACATGCATTAGTTTTACTTTTCAATTTGCATTTTATGTAATAAAACATTAAGCTCCGGAAGTATAATAAGTAATTGTACGATAATTATATCGTGATTATTAAATCTTACGATACTATATCGTGATTATTAAATCGTATGATCTGAAATTTTTTTGGGTGGCGATTTAATCCCGGTTGAAGAAATCACGACTAGGGTATTATTTAAGATTTTTTTGCAAATAGGTAATAATAAATAATTATGATAATCAAATTTACTCTTAACCTCAGTTTTGATAGCTCACTTCAGACCATTATCATATGATTAAATTTACGCGTAATAAGTCGGTAATAAAATGTAATAAATACTAAATACTACTTAATATTAATAATTAAAGGATAAGTAATAAATCATTATTACTTACAAAATATCCATAACGATAGACACTAAGCCAACTTCAATGCTTTTTTTTTATTTGAATTCTAATGATCTGTAGGATTCAAATAAAAAAAGGTTCATTGAAGTTGGCCTGGTAGTTGTCAAGATATCCTTGCCAAAAGTCCGAGAAAAAAACTCAAAATACGTATCTATCAAAATAGAAGCTGTGCTAAATTTTGAACAAAGATATCTCAACAACCATCAAACCAAATTCAATGAATTTTTTTTTATTTGAATTCTACAAATCAGAATTCAAATAAAAAAAGGTTCATCGAAGTTGGCTTAGTGGTTGTCATGATATCTTCGCTCAAAATTTGGCATTATTTCGATCATTGCTGTGCCAATAAAGAAGATAGATGCCGTCAATAGAAATCAAGCAAATCTACATTTAAACTTTCATAGCTCATATCTCGATGAATTTTAAAGCTATCTTGATAATTTAATATTCAAAAGAAATCTTACTATCTAAGCTTTCTTTTGAATATTAAAGTATCAAGATAGCTTTAAAATTCATCGAGCTATGAGCTATGAAAGTTAAGGCATTGATTTTTTTTTAAATGTAGATTTGCTTGATTCGGCAGCCCATATGTAGGTATATTTACCCAATTGAAAAATGACATACGTCAATTAAAATATTGAATTACTAATACAAAAAAAACAATTACTATTTTAAATTTTTTTTTAAATATTATATTACGTATAAAAAAAATGACGATTTTTATTATTGCATTTTGACAATTTATTTATAAAATTAAGACTTGTATTAAAATTAAAAGAATTTATTAGATTTGAAATTATATATATATATATACAGTATACGTTGATTATCATTATTGTATAATAATCAAAATATAATATTAACAGTTTGATGTAAATACTGCGATTTAATCGATTAGCTATCTATGGTGATGTGTGCATATGATATATAACTTTTTTTTTTTTTTGCCAAGAGCCGGTAAATTTCACAATATTCAGATGGATTTACTATAACTAGAACGATCACATAATCGGGGAGTTTAGTGTAAAAAGTGTAAAAAGACAACATTTTACTATAGATAGCGTAATATTTATTTGCAAACTCATCATCATTAAAGATGATAGATTATTTATGTCGCTTACAAATGTGAAACATTATTATTCACAAAAAAATATGTAAAAAAATTCTTACAAAAGTTGATTTATACGTCCAATAATTCCATTATATTGTGTAAATATACATATCGCAAGCAATAAATATATACAACAAAAATACATTAAGACCTATATAGATATATATAATATGTATATATGTATATATGTACATACGTACACTTATTAATAGTCTACGTATATGAAAAATGGGGATTTTTTAAAAGTCCAAAATTTAAAAGTTCAAAGTTTAAATGTCCAAAAATTTAAGTCTAAAATTTAAAAGTCCAAAGTTTGAATTGAACTCGATCCAGACCGAGTTCTAACATTGCTTGCCGTAAGATTAATTGGCGAATGGAATGTGGACGCGATGTTGATACAGGTTTATTGGCAGCGGTAGAAGTACTGTATAATTAGTGTACTCGAACGGTTGGTGTTGAAGGAGTTGAATTAATTTCATCAGATTGTGGCAAGTTTGTTAAATCCAAATGTGCAATATCTATTTCTAATTTATTGCTGTGCATAAAAAAACCAACAGGCTGTGTTTGATTCGAAGATCCAGAAATAGGGTAATTATTAATTCCAGCGGTGGGAAGATTCGTTCCAAATAAACTAGAACTTCCTAATGGTAGAATTGAAACACTAGGATCTGATTCATTATTTTCTTCGATAGTATTTATCTCATGCCCAACCCCGACACCAATAATTCCATTTGTATAATCATCAAACATATTATTGTGATTATTGTGATTATCTACACGAGCTTTACTTATTCTTCGCATCCTAGTCACACCTTGAATAACGTGAATTGCTTTCTTTAGTTTAGCACGAGTTTGAACAACGGTGTGTGTGCTGGCTTGAGGAACTGTTAATTTAGCAGCATACTCAAACCAAGGATGTTTTAAAGCATCATGTGCCGTTATTCGTTCACTCGGTTTGTAAGTTAACATCTTATTTATTAAATCTTTAGCTGAAAAATATATATATATATGTATATGTCAACGAATTTAAACACAATAGTAAAAAAAGAAAAAAAAAGCATAACTTATATTTAAACGATATATTACCTTCATTACTTATATGATCCCAATAATCTTCATCGAAATCATACCTTCCTTTCAAAATAGAGTCAAACAAGGCAGCTTGGTCTTGACCCCAAAACGGTGTATATCCACTTAAGACAGTATAAAGAATGACACCAAGTGACCAAATATCACACGGTATTGAATAACTAGATAAATTAGATAAATTAGAGAAATAGTTTAATGGAAGAAAATCATAAAAGAAATTTCATAAAATTCAAAAGAATTTAGAAAACCAACCCTTTTTGGCTCAAGACCTCAGGTGCTACGTAGCCCGGTGTACCGCAAGCAGTCATTAATATATCATCATGATTTTTTAGAATTTTAGAAAGACCAAAATCAGTGATCATTAATTTAGAGTTTGGAGTTGCGTCGCTGAACAAGAGATTTTCAGGTTTCAAATCTCTATGAACAATCTATAATTATAAATGACAAAATTAGGAATTAAGTGAACAGTTAGGTTTTGTAGTAATAAATATTAATATATAAATATATATATTAATAAAAATGTAATAATAGTTTGCGACATACATCGTTATCATGGAGATAGGCAACACCTTGAAGTACTTGCTCTATAAGATGAGCAGCGTCTTTTTCTGTATAATGTCCTTTTTGCTCAAGTTGATTATACAATTCTCCACCGTTTGCAAGATCGGTGATGATATATACATTTTCCTTGGTTTCAAATAAATCATGTAAGGTTACTAAATTGGGATGGTCGACTTGTTTAAGAACATCTAGTTCTGTCGTCAACATTTGCTCTTTTCCTTAGCAACGCAAGTAGATTATTAACGTTAATATTTTAATATATTATATTCGAAACGAGGAGAAATATGCTGTCACGTGTCATATGATGTAATAGCTACCTTTTATGACTTTTTTCGAAATTATCTTAAGAGCATAATCAATATTGGTTCGTTTGTCTTTGCATCTTCTAACCACGGCAAAAGAACCTTTACCAAGAACACCAGAAACGGTGTATTTTTTTTCTAAATCCCAAGGATATGGAGAATCTCCGCCTTTGTTAAAATGAAAGATTTTTTGCATTGTCTTTCTAAAAATGTTTAGTAGAAAAGTATTATTTTTTAAATAAATAATTTTAAATTAATATTTTTAATCGAAATGGTTTAATTAAGTTTTTCTATGGAAACAAAAAAGGGAAATGAAATGTCAAATGGTTTTTTTTTTTTGGTGTATCTAATGTAAGGATTAATCTAATGTTTATAATGTTTAAGTGTAGATTAAAAGTGTGCGTACGTAACGCACCAATTAAATCGTAAGTAATAATTAATTAATATTTAGTTCGGTACGATAATACTCGTTATGGTAAGTTAACTTTAGAAATTTGAAAAACTTGCAGGAGGGAAAAAAACATTTTGTGCCTTTTTATAATTTTCTTCGATTTGTTTATTATATTCATGAATTATTAATAAGGGAAAATAAATAAAGGAAAATAAATACGTAATGATTTACAATACCTTGCACGATCCTTGATATACACGGGGGCATTTTTGAAGTGTTGCTGTATGGAAGTCTTTTTTGGTTTATTATGTGGTCGAATGGGTTTATTTGACTTCGGTAAGATCTTGGTAAAAATATTAATACGGAAATTTATATGTTCATACATGACTAAATGTTTTTACAGGTATTACCAAGACAAGAATCAGGCGGTTTTTCAATGAAATGAAAAAATCGTTAACATAAAAAAAAGGCGAATGAAGACTGCTTGTTCGGAATTAGCTGGACTATTGCATTAAAACATTAAAATCATAAAAAAAAGAAAAATCGAGTATCAACCATGAAAATATGTGTGTTTATATACATAATTATTATGTTTCAAATGAGATCACATAAAAATACCAAACGCGACATAAGCTTTGGTCGCAAATGATCACAACATATAAAAGGCTTATAACATTTTGGTCGAAAATGAATGATAAATTTAGTAATTGGTAATTATTGGGCGTACCCACGTGTGTGAAAATTTTAACTATCTCTGTATATCGGTATGCATTGGTTCGGAATCTAGCTTCCTTAAGCATATCGTAGTAAATTCGCTGCGCAAGATCAACGGAATTGTATTTATCCATGTAGTGCGCATTTTACTGTTTTATATGTGCATATAATTATATAACATTATGTACTGTACATTCTTAGCTAGCATTTATCGTTATAAATTTTTTTCCATAATTCAGAATTTGTCATATTATATCGATCTAAGGGGTAATTTATTTATAGTAATTTATTAATAGTAACTGGTTACACATAATGTTATGCTTTCTCTTGCGTAACGCGTAAGACAATATTAGAAATCAACAGTTAACAGAGACAATTTCTGTTTATCGGTAAGACCACCTAATATAGATAGATATGAAATCTATAGATGGTTTCTTTTTTTTTTTTTGAGCAATTCCAGCAATACATGCCACATATATCACAAGGCCTTCATTAAATAAGGTGTCAATACGAAGTTTTTGTTTGTGTCACATAAAGCTCTGAAGCCTTCATTCATCTCGCGTGGCCATGAAGCCTTCGTTTTTACAATCTTCGTTTGAGCAAACTTCTATGTTTATGCAATCTCATAATGAAGGCCTTGTACGACCTTGACGTACAAACATTGTCACTAAATTCATGTGCAACATCGATCGAGAAACCCTCTTCGAAAAAAACTTTCTGTACGACATTTTCCAGTTATAACTGGTTTATATATTGAATGGAATCTATTTAAACTGGTTATAGTAATTTTATGTCGAATGCGATATCTTTGATATCGATATCTATAGTTAGCGATTTTTATTTTTATATTCTAATGTTGTTGCTCATTTTTCCGAGGGTCATTTTCTGGCATCACATAGGGTTAGGTTTAGCATTTTTATTAGTTGTATATAAAAATTAACACCTTGTGTGATGTCAGGTAAATGACCTGTCGGAGAAATGACTATCGGGAAAATTAGATGTAACTATAACGATAATGATAATGATAATGTGTCCCCTTGATTATATCGGGTATGTTTCAAGTACAAATAAATGCCGACTTAACGATAATTTATTTTTTTCCTAATGGGCCAATACACTCTCTTCACGTACGTACGTATAACTCCGCCATAACCTTATACAGTAAATTATGGATATGTAAATTGTTCATTAAGTGCACATTCTAGAAGTGTGGCAATGTGCAATTAATTATTTATGATCGCATGACGGAGTTTACGTACATACGTATGTGTTATTTTATTTGTTATCACAAATTTTTTATATTTTATTTATTAGTTTTTCTCCGGAATTGTTAATTATTTTGACTTTTTTAATTGTTGTTTTTTTAAAAAATATAGAAATGTGATACGTAGAAATGATTAGTAATATGAGTTTTTATTATTATATTATATAAAATAACATTTATTTTTTCATACGTACAGTATACAGTATATTAAAAAAGTAATTAAGGTGATCCGCAGTTAAATACGGCACAGTATTACTATTAGTTTATATAGACTGCGAATGGTATTATGAAAAAATACTGTATACTGTAGTATAAAATATTCTTATTTTATGACAGACTAAGCCGATTTTGATGATTTAACTATCGTTAGAATCAGAAAATTTGGCTCTACAAGTTTGGTCAGAAATTGAAAAGTTTATTTAGTAAAAAATATATATAAGAAAGATCTATTTACATATATACAGTACTATATAAGATTTATATTAAATTCCGATTTTGTTTATTATAGGATTTGCTTTTTTTACTCTTCAAAAATGAACCAACTCTTAAAACATTTTAGCAATACATATATGGAATATAAAATGTTCTATATACAGTATATTTTTTTGTAAAAATATTTTATTATTTTACTGTTTTAAAAATAGAATATAATACAAATTATATATATCTGGTTACTATATCAAAATCGCAAAGTATAAATCAATTATACTCTAAATACTTTGTATAGAAGCAAAAAATAAAATTTTTGTATATATTTAGCTATTTAAAATATAACTATTACAAATTCTTTTATAAATTACATATTTTTATTGGCTAAAAAGTTTTGATTAACCAATTAAATATAAGATTTACTGTGTTATATCTTACTTTAAAATATAAATAAAATTTTATATTTATGTATATATATAGTATTAAATATTAAATAACTATTAAAATAAATCAAAAAATATAAAAAATTAAATTTATTATATAATTATAATAATTTTTTTTATTTAATTATAAGGCATTATTTTATAGTGATAAATTACCATAGTAATTTTATATAAATAGCCAATCAAAATTTAGCATATAAATATATAATAAGTTACTTACTATTGGCCAATTAAAATTAGCTAAAAATTTTATAAATTTTATAATAAAAAATAAAGAAAATATAAAAAAATTATATTAATTTTAAAATATATAAAGTTATTATAAAAATAGTTTTTATAAAAAATTTAACTCAATACAAGTTTAGCTAATATAAGTGAATGCAGTAGTAATTGGAGGCTAAATTGCCAAGAATCACTATAAATAGAAAACAATAATGCATCTGTTAAGAACCCCTAAATCTCATAATTTCATCCAACTATATCAAGTACTAGAAGTATTTGTGAAACATATTTGGATAGCCTTATTATCGTATAGTTATTCACATAATACCAAATTTGAAACGTTAAGACCTGGGTCTTAAAGTCACAGAAAACTAGCTAGTTATAGCAACATGCAGGCTTAAAATACTGTACTTACCCAATTGGGTAGAGGTAGCTACATAGCTTGAGATACAAACTTCTGGAAATATACTAGTTGAAACTAGATACACCAAACTAAAAGCAATAGGCACTTATCTGATAAACACCAATTTGAAAGTTAAGATATTAAATAATATAGATAAAGTGACAAATATGTGAATACTAATTAATGGTTAGAGAAGGATATATAAATCCAGATCAATTACATATATGAAAGTGTTAATGGCTTTAGTAGGTTTTAGCTATGAATAAATAATCTTAGATCTAAAGTTTTAATCCTAGTTCTAATATATAATATATATGTATTTTGGTACTACTATATATTATTTTGTTTAAGTATTAATTAAAGTCTAGAGCAGGTACTATACTTTAATATTAAAAAAGAATAAATAAAAAATTTAACTTAATTTTAATAATATTGTAATAATAATATACAAAGTTTATATTTAGCTATCAAATTACAATAAAAAATTGCTATACTATATTTTTTCTAAAATAAGCTCTTTTTTAAACAATTTTAAGCTTAAAAAATTAAAAGTAGCTTATTTTTAAGTATAATAATATTTTAAAACTTTTTAATAATTACTATTTTTTATTTTGTAAATATCAAAAGATTTTTTAAACTAATTATTTAAAAATCTATACAATAAAGTAAATTATTACTTGTAATTAAAACATAATATTAAACTATTACAGAAAATTGGTATAATATTACATCTCATACTTTTTTATTTAATAATTTAAATTAGTTAATAATTTAAATTTTTGTTTTTTTTTGTTTTTTTTTTGGTGTAGTGGAAATAACATAATTATGTTATTTCCACTTAATCTAGGTTATGTCTGACGACAGGATCATATGTCTGTCATCATTCGAGTGACGACTGTTTCGCACTTGCGTCGTCAGAGATATATTAGTATTCGCTCCGTCATTCAAGTGACGAACGATTCACGTTTGCGTCGTCAGAGAT